GCAGCTCAGAGCAGTGTGTTCATGCACAGATCACGCAGATGCAGTGTGGATGGCAGCCCTGAGATGTACCATTCACCTCCAAGCCTGCCTTAATGCTGTGAGGGAAGGGTGTGCAGCAGGCTGCCTTCACCCTCACATCTGGCTCTTACACAAGGTGTGTGGTAGACAGATCCCTACACAGCAACTGCCATCATCTGCAGGGCTCAGATGTGGTATTCTGTAGRTCAGAGTGGTTCACTCTTATGATATGAATCACAAACGAGTTTGGGAGCCCAGAAGGAATCATATAGCAGTAGTCTGTGTGTCAGTGAGGCAGCTAAGCCCCGATGTTTATGGGCAGATGAGGAATTGTTCTGCCACAGTGGATGTTGTCAGCCAGGTGAAATCAGTTTGTGCATCAGCACCAGCTTGCTGCCAGCTGGGCTTTTCCACTCTAGGATAATACTTGTCATGGTWTTCCAAATAGGAGTCTTGACCATATGCTGAGTTTCTATGCTGCAGTATTTCTACCAGCATTTAATAAAATCTGTCATGTCTGGGGGGTGTGTTTTYTCCTATTCCCAGTTTAAAGAGAGAGATGAGAAACCTGAGTGAGGAGTGCAGTCTGGAGCCTGTGACTGTCTCCATGGCTTATGTTTACTTTGAGAAGCTCGTCCTCCAAGGCAAACTCAACAAACAGAACCGCAAACTGTGCGCTGGTGCTTGCGTCCTGCTCGCAGCCAAGATCAGCAGTGACCTCAGGAAACACGAAGTTAAACACYTAATAGATGTAAGTGCTTGTTCCTTGTTCCAGCTGTTGTCAGAACCTCCTCCCTAGCTCATAGGCAAAGATTAAAGTCAAGATTTTCCATGGCACATGCTTGCATGGAAGACCAGCTTTTTCAGTCAGTTTAATGGCTCATTAGGGCTCTTCCTCACTTTATTTTTTTAATTCATTAAAACTATCTGCCTGGTGCAGGCTAGTGTCTTACTGATCCTACAGTAAAGTTATTTTTGCACTTGCATATGTTTGCCTGAGAAGCAGTAACTGTTGTGTGGGTGTCACAGCTGAGCTGATAAGCTGGTTTGCTTCTCTGATCTCTGGCAACACGTTTTGATTCTGAAGATACAGCTTAGGCTGTGCATCACTGACTTAATCTAACAATGCCTTGAAATCACCTGGATTAACTGATCCTTTCTCCCCCTCCTTTGTTTTATTTTGTTATCACTGTCATAGAAACTAGAAGAGAGATTCAGATTCAACAGAAGGGATCTCATCGGTTTCGAATTCACCGTCCTTGTAGCTTTGGAACTGGCTCTGTATCTCCCWGAAAACCAAGTTTTACCTCATTACAGACGGCTCACACAACAGTCTTAACCAAAGCTCTGTCCCAGCCAGTATCCAGCTGTGCTGGGCTCACATCCCAGGATGCTGCTGGTGGAGGTGCCACTGGCTCCAGCTCGTTGGGAAGGCTGCAAGGTGTTGGGAACTGTTGAGGTCTGTGGACACAGATGCCAAGTCTGGGGGATGGTACGAGAAGAGTTATTGAACTTTTGTTTTCTTTTGGACATTTAAAGCACAAATATTCACTAGTCAGCTGTCATGGCGGCTTATTATTCCTTATTTATCTTCCTGGTTTTACTAAAACTGTTCTTCCCTATGAAGAATACTATGGTATTGGTTCTTTTTCTTTTGTTTTAAGTCTTTATTGTATTCCTTGAAACTGAAGGAACATCACTTCCATTCCAGTGCACCACAAAGTTCAGATGTTTCTAAGAACCTTCTCTCATTTTTACATTAATGAAATGCATACTTTATTTTTTTAAAGATGTGCCTAAAACTGGCTGGTCTGGTACCAGTGCTTTTTAAGTTAGTTCTGTTATTTAGTGGGGAATCCTGAATTTGTATAGCCATTTATTCTTTACCTGCATTGGCCTTGCATACCAGGAAAACAATTCCAGTATATCTGCACTAATAATATACAGGGCATCTATTCTATGATCTATAAGTAGCGAGGTTGAAATTACTCCATTTCAATTTATTTACTATAAATACCTTAAAAATACACATTTTACTTAAGAAGGAAAGGTGGTTTGAAAACCTGTCATGAAGTACCACACRTTGAACAAGGTAGCTGGGAAGTGATTGCCGTCCTAATTTCACTGTTGAGAGGAAGATGAGCACTTGACTGAGAGCAATTTGCTGTCAAATGTATCATTGAGAGGTTTTATTTGTTTCACTGTTCCGTAGCCTGAAATAAGCACCTTTTTAGTATGACTGTATTATATATGGTCTTATCTGAGCAAATATGAAGCCAGTAGAGTTACTGCTGCCAAACGAAGCCAATGAAACAAAGCATGCTCGGGATTGAAAATGCTACTTTTTTTTACTCTGTTCTTCCAAGCGTTGCATCACTGTGATGGTCCTCATAAAACTGGCATTTTTCTTGCACATCTGAGCAGCCACTACTGGCTGGTGCCCAGCACCTCTAGTGCATACACTGAGGTTAAATAACTTCTCTGCCCATTGGCTGTTCCTTCCTTTGTTTTTACAGTATCCAGGTTGGGAATGAATTYTTGATTCTATGTGGAACCTTCTGTGGTATTGGCTCTTGGGTTTATTTTCTGAAGCAATATTATGATACAAGTTACTGTGTCCGTTTGCAAGGAACAAAACTGATACTTGGTTATTCCAACTGAGAAAGATGTAATTTAGGTTGGACTTGTAAACTACCAGACCTCATGCTGAGGTCGGGGACTCGCTATCTAATATGTAAAGTAATGTAAATTCTTGTTCCTTGTATTAAATATTTGTCGTAGCCAAAACCAAAGCTGAACTTTGCTCTTCAGCTGTGTTTTGTCTGAAGCTAATTTGGCTTCMTTAGAATTGCAGCAAACTTTACTGGAGCCCCTTCCTCTTCGTGTGGGGCTCAAAATGTATTTTTCATATATAATAATTACAGTGAYGATCAAATCTTTTGTAACTGTGTTCAGCTGTATGTAGCTTCAAATTATTTGTGTAAAACTTAATATGCTTGTGGTTTCTCTAACACAGAAGGAATTTCCAGTCTCCAGAAGTGAGATGATAGCTAATAGCTTAGACAATAAGCTTGCCAGTTATCTTCCAAAAGGTTTAAAACAACTGCCTACTAGTTAAACTTTCTACTGAATATAACTGTCCTTGCATGCAGAAATAGTGATGTACTAAACATCTAGCCTGTAATGAGCTCCAAATTAGCAAACAGTGTTGCWGACAGCTGAGGTGGTCCCCCACTTCCCAGGGCATTGTGCAGGGGACAGAGGTACAACAGAGCAAAGAAATTTCTCACAGAACAGCTTGATTAACATGAATGCAATCTCAAAGTGTCTTTCTCTGGGAACTTCTTTATTTAGTGTATAAAGAGTTTTCTGTAACAAAATCAACTTTCCTTTCTCACCATCTAARGGAACAAAACACACTTTGGTTTGCAACACTTTGCAGTCTCTATTCAGTGGAAGTTTGTCTAGTTCAAGTGGCCATTTGGGCTGTAATTACACTCCCAGAATGGGCAGGTTTACGTCATAAAACCGGCAAGCTTTTGTTTTCTTCCAGGAGAACAAATGGGATAAAGCAGCATTAAATTACAGAATGCTGAATGTTGTCTAATAGTTATTGTAGAACTTGGCTTGGGCACACACTTGAGTTGGGAAGCTGCTGGGAGCACGGGCCAAGGATGACGGAGCAGCGAGGGCTGTGCCAGCCTTGCCTGGCAGAGTTTGGGGTTGGGRTGATGCTGTCCAGAGCCCCGGGGCTGTGCACGGGGTACTCGTGTGTCTGTGCAGGAACAGCCCTTCTGCAGGGATCCACCACCAGCTCCGTGTGCGTTTGTTTGCCTGCAGCTTCTCCCCTTTCCAGAGCGCAGCTTGCAGTCAGTCCTGTGCGGGAATCTCTCTCTTTTCACTTAAAAGCTGCCACCATGTGGCAAAGGACTATCAGTACCTTGTCTGTTCACAAACAACACCCAAAGCCAGACCCAAATCTGCCGGTTTACGTTTGCACAGCCAAAYTCCTCTTGCTCTGAAGAGAAACAGGTTTACACCCAGGGGGGGTCTGGTGCTTTGTGAAGGTGCTGCTGGGGTGGCTCAGCACGGAGAACTCTCTTGAGAAGAGCCTGTACATTTTCCTGTAAACAAAAACTCTTCTGTTTTGTCATACTCCATTATTTAAAAGTCTCGGTTGTAGCCTGGTTTTGGTTTGTTYTTTTKKKTTTTTTTYTCTTCTGTGAAATTAAGATGCTGTGAAATAAAACCTGGTTTTGGTACATGGTTTGTAACAAAATGTCTCATTTTGGAGTAACAGAATGAGTGGTGTTGGAAGGGCCCTCTGGAGATCATCCAGTCTAACCCTGCTGCTAAGGCAGGTCATGTGGAGCAGGTGAAGATGTGTCCAGCTGGGTTTGGAATGTCTCCAGAGAGGGARACTCCATGGACAGCTGTTCCAGTGCTTTGCCACCCTCTGTGGGAAATTATTCCTCAGATTCAGGTGGAATTTCTTGTGTTATAGTTTATAGCCATTACTCCTTGTCCTCTCACTGGGCACCACTATAAAAAGTGYCTGGCAACATTTTCTGGCACACCTTGGAGATATTTGTATGGATTGACGAGATCCCCTCTCAACCTTCTCCAGTCTAACCAGGCCCAGCTCTTGCAGTCTCTCCTCATTAAGGGAGAAGCTCCAGCCCCCTCATCATCGTCGTGGCCTCCACTGGACCCTCTCCAGAGCTCGGAATGGTCTGTTGGGCTTCAGCGAGGGTTCCGCGGTGGCCTGGTCATAGAATCACAGAAGGGTTCAGGATGGAAAGGACCGCGGGAGCTCATCCAGTCCAATCCAACTGCCGCGGGAAGGTCACCTGGAGCAGGTGCCTCAGGAACGGCTTTGGAATGTCACCTGAGAGGTTTGGAATGTCACCTGAGAGGTTTGGAATGTCACCCGAGAGGCCCCCTCACAGTGTGCGCTGTGCCCGTCCCTACCGAAGGGATGTCCCGAGGAGCGGGGAATGGATCCCGGCCCCTCCCGAGGCGGGGCGGGCGGTCCGAGCGCTGCTGGAGGCGCTGATCGGACCCGCGGGGCGCATCCCCCGGCCGGAGCGGGACCGGCCCTGCGCTGCCTTCCCCAACGCCGCCATGGTCTGCACGGTGACGTCACGCGCCGCGCAGGAAGTGCTCTCGGTACTGTGACGTATTTCCGTGTCCGGCCCCGCCCCTTCCTTTCCGGCCGGCCGCGCGTGAGGTGGGAACGATGGCGGCGGGGCCGGGGGAGAGATGGGAGCGATGGAGGGGCCGGGGACAGCGGGGGCGATGGCGGCGGGGCTGA